AAGACATTAAAGGTATTTGAAGCAAACCGCGTTATGAAAATTCAAAAAATAAGCGAAAGGGTGAATTGGAGACACGTACGCACACATGAAAATCCAGCGGACGCACTTTCACGTGGCCAGTATCCCTCTGAGTTACTGAAAAATGAATTGTGGTTCGACGGTCCTAACTGGTTACAGAAAATGAATAATAGTGAATGGCCGAAAGAAATAACTGAAGAAATTTCTGCTGATTTACCAGGCATCCGACGTGAAACATGCCTCACGACACGTCATAATAGCAACAGTTTGTTCCAGCGATTTTCAACTTATCCAAAACTTTTGCACACTCTCTCATATTGTTTGCGTTTTCTATCACCTCACTCTGTACCTACGAACATAAATATCGAAGCAAAGGAGAAACTTGCAACAGAACGAAGAATCATTTTAATAATACAAAAAGAATGCTATCAAGACGAGATCGAAAAATTACAAAAATCCAGGAAAATATTAGGTTCTCGAATAGCAGCATTGAACCCGTTCGTCGATAAACATGGAATACTACGTGTGGGCGGACGATTACAAAATGCAAAAATTGGAGAAGAACACAAACATCCCATATTACTACCATCGTATCATCACGTGACGGACCTGATCATACGTGATTATCATCACCGACTTTATCACGCAGGCATTCAAACTACATTAACCAATATTCGTCATCGGTTTTGGCTACTCGACGGAAAAAATCAAGTTCGTAGAATTGTTCGTCGATGTGTGACATGTATTCGACATCGCCCAGTTCCCATACAAGGCAAAATGGGGAATTTACCATCACCCCGAGTTCAAGAGGCATATGCTTTCGAACATACCGGAGTTGACTATTTCGGTCCTATCTTCATCAAGGAAAAAAAGTTTCGCAATAGAGCTCGTGTAAAGGCGTATGGATGCGTATTTATTTGTATGGCCTCAAAAACCGTTCACATAGAAATTGTCAGCGATATGACCACAGATGGTTTTTTGGGAGCCCTCAGACGTTTTATCGGCCGAAAATCACATCCTGCGCATATATACTCAGACAATGGAAGTAATTTTGTAGGTGCTAACAAACAACTACGAGAACTTTACTGTTTAATCGATTCGGAGCAATTTAAAAACGACGTAAGGATATTTGCATCTCGAGAACGCATTACCTGGCACTTCAATCCACCATTATCTCCACACTTCGGCGGTATCTGGGAAGCGGCCGTAAAGTCGTTTAAACACCATTTTAAGAGAGTAATAGGAGACAAGTTACTTTCATTCGAGGAACTGAATACATTCGCTATTGAGATTGAAGCTATCTTGAACTCCAGGCCATTATGTTCACTATCTTCAGACCCAAATGACCCTATGGCGCTCACACCCGGTCATATATTAACCGGTCGCCCATTGACAGCATTACCCGAAGAGAATCTGGAAGGGATACCTGAAAATCGACTGTCCGTCTGGAAGTTCATTAGTCAAGCTCGTCAATCATTTTGGAAACGCTGGCACGTTGAATATCTGAGTGAATTACAAAAAAGACAGAAATGGCTAACGACTTCAAAGGAACTTCGAGTAAACAACGTTGTAATTATTATTGATAAAAATACACCATGTATGCAATGGAAGTTGGGAATCGTAAAGGAACTACACCCAGGACCCGATAAAATTGTTCGAGTAGCTACCATCAGGACCACTCAAGGCGATTTCAAACGCAACATCACTCAACTTTGCTTGCTTCCTGTTGATTGCTGATTTTTGATTTTTATTTTACTTCTATATTTAATGTTTATATTTAAGTTTTACATTTATAGTTTCTTATATATTATAAAAATCGATGTATTTTTAGCTTTTAAGTTTTTCAGATTTGTTCTCAAAATTTCAATTCATATCAAAATATTCATATATATGTACAATACGATATTAAAAAATTCAAATGTTATACATTCAAACACATAAATATTCATTGCTTCGCAACGCGGGGAGGATGTTCAGTCCTCACCNGAGGTTATGAGTGCACGCGCATAGACAAAGTGATTATTATTTCATACCTCTTTTGTGAAGTGATTGAAAGTGAAAGTGAAATACGAATAACTCTTGTGAATTACTTTCTTTCCGTTTTTCAATCTTACTCATCACGAAACAAAAACTATTGCCCGAGAAGAAGGATATTCGCTTCAGTGTGTGTAGTGTGTGTGCCGAACTTACGTATTCATTCAATCATATTGCTGCACAACAATGGCTGCTTCGATCGCACGCAAACGAGGTACGCTGAAAGGCAGGATCACCAGCTTGAAAGGCATCGTCGCTGACGACAGTGTAGATCTGGTGAATGCGAGTATCCGTTTCGAACGTGTTACCGAATTATTCAAAGAATATGAATCGCTCTTTGAGAGTTTGACCGACGATGAAATTGCCAACGAAACAGATCAAGCGAAACTTGTCGAAGATGAATATTATGATCTTGCGACGCAAATAAGATCACTCATAACCCCGACTTCATCAAATAATAGAACGTCGTCGAGTTTCGGTATGCCACTCGGAAGCTCGACCGTAATTGAACGACAACAACTCGTTAAACTTCCAATTGCCAACTTGCCACAGTTCGATGGCAATCATGAGACTTGGATATCATTCAAAAACACGTTTTTATCAATGATTGATGCGCGCACAGACGTCGATGATCTAAATAAATTTTTATATTTGAAAGATTGCCTGAAAGGCTCAGCATATAATAAACTGGCTTTGTATGACGCGAGCGCCGACAACTACGCTAAGGCTTGGCAGACTTTAACCGACGAATATGAAAAACACCGTGTACTAATGGCTAAGCATTATGACGGCATTATCGATATGCCCAAACTTGTTACGGCAACATCTACAGGCTTGATGAAAATAATCGATGATGTCCGGCAGCATATCAATATGCTCGAAGCCCTGAAGGTTAAACTAGATAGAGGAATGATCGTTCGTATCGTAGAGAAAAAACTTCCTACTGACGTCCGCATGAAATGGGAAGAAACGCTCAGTTTCGACGTTTTCCCCGAATTCGATCAATTATATAAATTCATTAGTGAATATGCCTTTCGAATCGGTGCTTTGAATCCAGACCCAGTGAATGAACGCGCATCTGTCAACAAACGTCGCATCGATTCACAATCCAATTCATCGAAGTCACGCAGGGTTGAGTCAGGGGCGCGTGTATTCGTTACAAACTCACAACGAATAAGCTGCCCACAGTGCTCTGGAAATCATGCAATATACAAGTGCGAGGCGTTTGGAAAATTATCAGTACAACAGCGATGGGATGTGGTAAA